CTCATCCTCGCACGCAGCCCCCCTCAACCTTGCGCGACTCGCAGCCACTAAAAGCCACTAAAAGACATCCCCCAAACTTTAACTCTCTTGTTCTACTCAGCTGTGCGTTTTCGCGCTTTAACAACCACATCGATGCTTAAAACCCCCAGTCAAATCAAAGCCTTAAAACTGAAAGCCCTCCTTCCAGGCCTCATTTTAGACGTCGCATCAAAGTCCAGGTTCGATAGCACATAGCACACAGCATGGGTGGTGTCGGCCTATCCGTCGGCCTATCCGTCGGCGACACGGCGCAGGAAAAGCGACAACAGATGCCACCTTTAGGGGGACATGCTTAAGCAACCACCAACACCGAAGTACTGCAGACCGGCTTGAGAAAGGGAAAAAGACAGCTAAAAGACAGAAAAACAATTTCACGTAGCTGCTCAAGGACCTCGTGCGTTGCTGTTCGTTGTTCACATGTGTATAACATCCTCCTCCCTTGGCGAGGAGGCATTTACTCAATATTTATCAAGCCAGCAAGATCCCTACAGGACGCACACACACACACACGCACACATACACACGCGCACACATACACCCCCCCACACACACAAACGAAATCATCAAGGAGGGAGCCCCCCAGGGACCCTCTCTCGCCTTTCCCCCTCTCCCACAATCCCCTTGCCTGGAACCCAACAACATCCAACTAGCAGTTGACAGTTGGCGGTTTCCGCTGTCATTTTATAAAACCCTAAGTCCCAACACCAAGAACAACACTGACCCAAACCCGCCTCAGCCCCGGGATTCAGTTTACTTGAACAACAGAAAACAGGGGGCAACGCCTCCAGCAGAACGACCTATCAGCGGATATATATACAGACAGACAGACAGATCAGGCAGATAGACGCATCTGCACTACAGGCAATCCTAGAATAGCAGCTATTATCGGAGACTGAGCTTGTCTGTGTTGGAAGGATTGTTGAGATGATGCGCGCAGTCATTGCCACCACGGGTGTTCGCAGCCCCCGCCGCAGCCGCTGCCGCCGCCGCCGCCGCCCCAGTCGGCTGCTGCTGCTGCTGCTGCAGCCGCCGCCACTCCTGGAACAACTGCCATTCCGCCGGGGTCACACCTGACGGCGGCGGCGCCGCCGCCGATGCCGCTACCGCTACCGGTAATGCCGCCGCGTTGCCGTGGTCAGAGGGCCGCTGCGACACGTTGCCGCTGCGTGGCGATGCTAAACGGTGATCCACTGGCATAGTGCCCTTCGGAGACTCCTGAGCGCTACACCTCACGTCCGTCGCGCCGCCGCCGCCGCCGCCGCTGCCGCCGGCTTCCACGACGCCTGCCGTGGGTGGCCCGCGAGCTCGCTTCCGTGGCCGCTCGCCGTCCGTCAAACCGCCAGCCACCTCTGCGCGCGAGCCGCCGCCGCGA